TGTTCTTCCAAATTCATTCTGATTACCCTGAAAACCAAAACCAAGGATTTAAATAAGTCATGATGCATAATACGGGGCTAGACATGCCCGAGAACTGGCGAGCGAAGTGCAAAAGCTCAAAACGACCGGTCGGCTCATTACACCTAGAAAAAATCCACATGACACAATTAGTTAATAACAAAGAAATTATCTAATAAAAATTAACAAAGAACTTATCTACCTAAATTAACTACTCAAACATGGGTGAGGGTTGACTTAGGTTTGTTAGTTTCTTTATTTCATTTTTTAAAATCATTTTCGTTTTTTTAAAAAAATAAAAAGTGTATTTATTCATTAAAATTCTAACAATATTATTGAGAAAGGTATAATAAAATTTAAAATAAAAAAATATTTTCAAGAGTAATAAAATATATATCTTCTATTATATTACAAAAAAATTAGCAGACAGAAATATTAAACATAGTAATATACTAATAATCTATCTATATATCATTAAAAGCCAAAGAAAAAGGCACCACATTAATTCAAGTGGTAGCCTAGAAAAAAGTCACATGGCATAATTAGTTAATAACAAAAAAAATATTTATTGAAAATTAATAAAGAAATTAACTACCCAATCATGGGTGATAGTTGGTTTAGGTTAGTTAATTTCTTTATTTCATTTTTTAAAATCATTTTCGTTTCTTTTTGAAATAAAAAATATATTTATTCATTTAAATTCAAACGATATTTTTGAGAAAAATATAATTAAATATTACAAAAAAATTAGCAGACAAAATATTATACAATAATATGCTAATAATTACTATTAACAATATAATTCTATTAAATATTGAATAATATAATAAACAAAAATACATAACAAAAAAGTTATTTGATGACTATATCAGTCCCTTTAATTTAATAAAGATTTTATTCATAATAATTCAGACAATATCTATTCTATTTATATAGAATCCGAGAAGCAAATCATTGTGATAATTCTAAATATAACATCAAAAACTTAACGAAGTGACAAATTTTAGGACAAAGCTCCAACAAATTTGGAGATTCAAAAATTATTTACAAAAAAAATGATAAAAAATGACACAACGAAATTAACTACTCAAACAAGGGTGATATAATACAGATAAGTGCACAAAAAAAGTTATATGATGACTACATAAGTTCCTTTAACTTAATCGAGAATTTGTTCATTAAAATTCAGACAATATTACTAAGAACAATAGAATAAAATTTAAAATAAAAATTATTTCAAGAGTAATAAAATATATATCTTCTATTACATTACAAAAATAAAGTAGCACAGAAAAATATTAAATAAAGTAATATGCTAATAAAAATTTCTATTAACAGTGTAATAATACTAAATATTGGATGATAGAATAAGAAAAATACAAAACAAAAAACAGAATAAAATTCAAAATAAAAAAATATTTCAACAGTAATAAATTATATATCTTCTCTTATATTACAAAAAGAAAGCGAGCAGACAAAAATAGTAAACAAAGTAATATAATAATAAAATTTCTATTAACTATATAATAATACTAAACAATGAATAATGTAATAAAGAAAAATATAGAACAAAAAAATTATTCACTAACTATATAAGTACCTTTAATTTAATAGAGATTTTATTATTGGGTATATCGTATTGACAAATAAGATGACAATTGAAATTTATTAAAGGTACTTATATAGTTAGTGAATAACTTTTTTGTTCTATATAGATTTTATTATTGGGTATATCGTATTGACAAATAAGATGATAATTGAAATTTATTAAAGCAATACGGTCTAATAGGATCAAACAAGCCCGATCATAATTTAATTAATTAATATTTTTTTAATATTAACCACGCATCGCGCGGGTATGACTACTAGTTACATTAAAAAAAAAAGGTTAACAAATATTTACTATATCAATTATTTTTTTCTTATTGTATAAAAAAAGAATAATAAAAAATAGTGAAAACAGTAAATAAAATTAGATTATGAAGAGAAAAAGAATATAAAAAAAAGAAGTTAAATGAATTTAGAAAAGGAACAAGAAATAAAGAAAAAATAAAAGGAAAAAAGGAGTTAAATGGAAAGGAACAAGAAATAAATAAAATTAATAAAAAGTAAAAAATAAATATAGAAGGAGTCAAAATTGAGTGTGAAATAACTTATGGTAAAAATAACAATAATACGATTTGGGCAAAAATAAATGAATAGAAAAAGAGAAAAGAAGAAGAAGAAGAAAACGACAAAAAAAGAAAAGGAGAAAAGAAAGAAAAAAAAAGGAAAAACGAAAAGAAGCATAGAAATAAAAAAGAAATGGAGAAAAAAGAGAAAATTCCCAACAAAAACAACAACAACAACAACAACAACAACAACTACCCAGTAAAATCCCACCAGGTGGGGTCTGAGGAGGGTAATGTATACGCAGACCTTACCCCTACCCGATAGGGCAGAGAGGCTGTTTCCGATAGACCCTCGGCTCAGAGAAAAAGAAAACAAGAAAAGAAAAGACAACTCATTAGTAACTCCAGTAGCAACCGTAATAGTAATGAAAGCATAACAACCAAGAGATGAAAGACATGCAATAACAGTAACCAGTATCTAAGGTCCGGGGCCAAGATAAACAGCAAGTACAGAGTGTATTCAGCCTAAACTGCAAGCAATCTAAGGTCTACCCTAATCCAGCCCCGCCTCACCCCCGGAACGAAGTAAGGAAAGAACTACTACCCCCTAGCCTACAACCCTTATGCTAGACCGCCAGACCTTTCTATCAAGGGCCATGTCCTCGGAAATCCGCAGACGTACCATGTCCTGCCTGATCACCTCCCCCCAATACCTCTTAGGCCTCCCTCTACCTCTCCTCGTACTCACCACTGCCAACCGCTCGCACCTCCTTACTGGCGCATCAAGGCTTCTCATTTGCACGTGCCCGAACCATCTGAGCCTTGCTTCCCGCATCTTGTCATCCACAGGGGCCACACCCACCTTCTTCCGAATATCTTCATTCCTAATCTTGTCTATCCTAGTGTGCCCGCACATCCACCTCAGCATCCTCATTTCTGCTACCTTCATCCTCTGGATATGGGAGTTCTTAACCGGCCAACACTCTGCTCCATACAACATGGCCGGTCTAACCACAGCTCTATAGAACTTACCTTAAAGTGGCAGTGGCACTTTCTTGTCACACAAAACTCCAGATGCAAGCTTCCATTTCATCCAGCCCGCCCCTATACGGTGACTGACGTCCTCGTCGATCTCTCCGTCCCCCTGAATCATCGACCCAAGGTACTTGAAGCTATCTCTCTTCGGGATGACCTGTGACCCAAGTCTCACGTCCCTGCCTACTTCCCTCGACTCAGCGCTAAACTTGCACTCCAGGTACTCTGTCTTAGACCTGCTCAACTTGAAACCCTTAGACTCGAGGGTCTGTCTCCAAACCTCCAATCTCTCATTAACACCGGCCCTCGTCTCATCAATTAGAACTATGTCATCAGCAAAGAACATACACCATGGCACATCCCCTTGAATATGGTGTGTCAAAGCTTCCATCACCAAGACGAATAGGAACGGGCTAAGCGCAGAACCTTGGTGTAATCCCATAACAACCGGAAAATGCTCCAAGTCGCCTCCCACAGTCCTAACCTTGGTCGTAGCTCCATCATACATGTCCTTGATTGCTCTTATGTAGGCTACCGGCACGCCCTTCACCTCAAGACATCTCCAGAGCACCTCCCTAGGAACCTTGTCGTACGCTTTCTCCAAGTCGATAAACACCATGTGCAGATCCTTCTTCTTATCCCTGTACTGTTCCACCAATCTCCTAATAAGGTGGATAGATTCCGTAGTGGAGCGACCCGGCATGAACCCAAACTGATTGTCGGAAACCGACGTCGTCTTCCTCACCCTCACCTCTACCACCCTCTCCCAGACTTTAGTGGTATGGCTAAGTAACTTGATACCCCTATAATTGTTACAACACTGGATATCACCTTTGTTCTTGAACAACGGTACCACTGTACTCGACCTCCACTCATCTGGCATCCTCTTCGTCCTAAAGATTACATTGAACAGCCCAGTCAGCCATTCCAATCCAACTCTACCCACACACTTCCAAAACTCCACCGGGATTTCATCTGGCCCGGTCGCTCTACCCCTACTCATCCTACGCAACGCCCTCACGACCTCCTCTACCTTAATGCGCCTGCAATACCTAAAATCCCGAAGACTCTCCGAATGCCCCAAGTCCCCTAGCACTATATCCCGGTCCCCCTCCTTGTTTAGAAGACCGTAGAAGTACGTCTGCCATCTCTGCTTAATCTGGGACTCCCCCGTCAATACTCTACCATCCTCGTCTTTGATACACCTTACTTGGTCCATATCCCGGGCCTTCCTCTCCCTCGCTTTAGCTAGCCGAAACAGCTTCCTGTCCCCGCTTTTCTCCCCCAATTCCTCGTATAGACGGCTGAACGCTGCATTCTTAGCCTCCGTGACCGCCATTTTGCCTCCTTCCTAGCCACTTTGTACCTCTCTCTATTTGCTCTCCTCTCCTCTTTGCTAGTGCTCCCTGCCATCTTCGCGTACGCTACCTTCTTCACCTGCACTTTACCTTGGACTACGTCATTCCACCACCAGTCGCCTTGGTGCATGCTAGCAAAACCCTTTGATATACCTAACACCTCCCTTGCCGCCTTCCTCACACGGCTCGCCGTCATTGACCACATAGTGCTCGCGTCTCCACTACTCCTCCAAGCTCCCATAGCGGATAACCTCCCCTCCTACTCGTGGGCTTTATCCTTGGTTAAAGCTCCCCATCTAATCCTCGATCGACCACGAGCGTGCCTCTTTTTCCTCTTCATCCGAATGCACATGTCCGTCACTAAGAGCCTATGCTAAGTCGCGAGGGTCTCTCCCGGGATAACCTTGCAATCCTTGCACAACCCTCTATCACCCCTTCTGAGGAGAAGGTAGTCAATCTGAGTCTTCACCGCCGTACTCTAGAAAGTTACCAGATGCTCCTCCCTCTTCGGAAAAGTCGAGTTCACAATTACCAGCTCGAAAGCTTTAGCGAAGTCTAACAGCGAAGTGCCTCCTCCGTTCCTATCCCCAAGGCCAAAGCCACCATGCACCTCGCCGTAGCTACCAGCGTCGGACCCAATATGGCTATTAAAACCCCCTCCAATAAATAACCTTTCAGTAGGCAGAATACTACGCACAATCTCATCCAAACCCTCCCAAAAGCGCCTCTTAACCTCCTCATCCAAGCCCGCTTGCGGCGCATACGCGCTAACTACAGTGAGGGTGCACTCACCAATCACCAACTTAATAAACATTAGCCTATCATTCACTCGCCTAACCTCAACCACAGACTCTCTAAGATCCCTATCCACCAAAATACCCACTCCATTCTTACCCCTCACGACTCCCACGTACCACAACTTATACTTCGATTTTTCTCTCTTTCTTTTTGATACTTGGTTGGCAGGGGTGATGGGTTAAGTGAAGAGAAAATGGTACTCATACCAACCGATAACCATCTTTCGGCTAACCTAGCCTCCTCCTAAACCCAGTGATCTTTCAACCGTAGCTTTTTTCCCCTTTGTATGAGAGTTTAAAGAAATTTCTCTGATCCTTCTCTTTAGCTAGTACCATTTTTTATCTTTCACCAAGCTCGGTATGACTTACTCGATAAAAGGTATCGGTAGTCTCATCAGTCATTCCCTTATCATCTGGATTAATCGGACTATCTCAGCATATGGGAATCCGCTAGAGAATGGATTTTACTCATAGAAGGCGAACGCTAGTTTTATGTGATGACAAGAACTAACCAAAGAAATCAGGATTAATCCCACTTTTTGTCCCTTTCCTTTCTTAGGTTTGCTAAATAGAAAGAATGCGAAGAGCGCAATAAGGTAATTGATTCTAGTCAATCGTTTAGTTCGCCTAAAGCTTAAAGAATGCGTCCGCATTCCTCGCCTTCGACCCTGCCCACCTAGTCTCCTGGACACACGCTATATTAACCTTTCTCTTCTGGAGAATCTTTGCCAACTCAATAGACTTACCCGTCAGCGTGCCTATGTTCCACGACCTGATCCTTAATTTGCAAGATCCCTATTTCCCCTTACCCTCCTTGTCTCTCGTCCCATCCACTAACCCCCTCCCCACCCCCCTACTCACCCCCGGAACCCCTCGAGGACAAGACCTTACTGTACCATCCCTGACCACAGCCACAATACCTACAACAAACTCCGAAAAATGCTAACACGGACCCAAACTAAAAAAAATAACCGGAAGCGACTACAAGTATTCTAATAACATGCTTAAAGTGATACTAACCAAATATACTAACCAAATAGCCACAATTAACTTACATAAAGAAAGAGACAAGAAAGCGGGAGGTACCAACTCCCGATAAGAAGAACCTGGAAATATGACTTGAGGCACCCGAGGTCACAGAAATGTGACGTGCGTCCTTCCAACTCCCACCAACCTTTGCACACCCTAGCCGGAGCTGCTCCGTTCTACACACCCGTACGCCCCGCGCTTGCCTCGGCAGCCGCAACTAATTCCCTGAAAAATTACACACAAACACCACGAATCCAATAGGGGGGGTTGTCCCAGGCGTGGACCTGGGCAGATTCGCTGATGGAGGGACAACAGGAGAGGGACAACGGAGAGGGGGAGGGTCGCCGGCGTCGCTGCTAGGGTTCCAGGACTGAATTTTTGGGCTCAAGACGGGTTGGGTTGGGGAAGCGCACAGCAGGGGGAAGGGAGACGGGTTTTTGGGGATAAGAGAGAAGAAGGGAGAAGGGGTGGGGGTGGGGGGGGGGTCGCCGGCGCTGAGCAGAAAAATAAAAGAGAGAGAAGGGGTGAAGAGAAGGGAGGGAAGAGGGGGAGAAGAGAGAGAGGAAGGGGATGAGAGGAGAGAGGAGGGTGGGGGGAGATCGGGAGAGAGAGACACTTACCTGAGATCGCCGGCGCCGGAAGACAGGAGGCAGAAGAACGTTGCTAGCGGGGAGAGAGAAAGAACGGAGGAGGAGGAGAGAGAAAGAGCCCGTTTTATTTTTGTAGAAAATGTAATTAGTATGATGGGTAGAAAAATAAATGGGTAGGTAAAGATAAATAGTTTTATTTTTGTAGGCAATTGTGTCATCCACCCAATATAATTACTATAATTATAAATTATGAACACTCATTATGACCGAAAACTTAGAGATCTTGGCACTTGGTGAGTGATTTTATTTTGTGTCTCACACAATTTACATTAGTTGCGTGAGACCTCTTTTTATCTCACATATTTGTGGACCCATATCTTACACATCTTGGTCCACAAAAATTCTGAGACCACACAGTTGTGAGACAAAAAAAAGGTTCACACAACTAGTGTCAGTTGTGTGAGAAATAAAATAAAATTTTTCGCACTTGGTTGTTGGTAGGGACTAGGGATATGATTTGGTGTCTTTTAGAATTTTAGATCTTTTTTTTCTTTTTGTAGAAAATATTCTCTCCAATTTAATGGAGGAAAAAAAAAAAAGAAATAAGTCAAACGAGGGACTTAAAATTATACTCCCTCCGGTCCAAAATAAGTGATTTTTTTGGATGTTTTCACACAAATTAAGAAATTCACCTTTTAGCATTAATTAGCAATGGAGTTGACCATATTAACCTTTACTATCTCACATAAACACTCCTAATACATATTCCAACACCATTTACTTCAAGGACAATGTAGGAAAAAAATAATTAATTCATTCTTGAAATCTGGAAAAATAACTTATTTTGGACCACAAAAAAAATGCCAAAAAATCACTTATTTTGGACCGGAGCGAGTAATGTGTAAGATTCGGCATGGAGTTGAACAAACTTAAGGAAGTAAAAGCTAACATCCCAACTTCTTAATTCTAAGGTACCCTTTTCCCCGCGTCGTGCCCAACCCCCCGCGGTGAGAATCTGCCAGCTCCCATCCCATGGCAAGGATTTCAAAGAATTGGCTTCAGAGGTACGAAAAAAATTTGTATTGTTTCCACCCATTTGTTTTAGGTTTTGAATTACATAGTCTCTAGGTCTTTTTTCCGTAGCATGTGGACGAAGATTTTGGTATTTGTTTGTAGTGCAATTTCGAGAGAGTTCATATGGAATATTTAGACGTTTATTTAAAGTGTCTTCCATAAAAAATAAGCTTGCGGTGAGTGATTGTTGCTTTTGTTTATGATTCAACTTGATTGGATACAGTTTTACGCTGTTAATCACTAAATATGTTCCATTTTGGAAATTCTATTGAATTTTACTCTTATATTTTCCTAATTGTCATGTTTTATTTTATCTGCATTACAGAGTCCTTGTTTCCTGTTGGTGAAAAAAAGAGTCATTGTTATGTTAGGGATCATGTGTTGTATTCTGTCCTTTTAGGTGGAGTTGTCTGTTGAAGTTGTGATACTCATAACAACAAACTAATGCTTGCGTAATGTAAAAACCTTGCTCTTTTTGAAATACCTTTAATCCGCTGTGCTTTCAAATGGCATTTGTTGGTTTAGAGCCCACCTGTATATTCCGAATGGGAAAAAAACTTCATTGTTTCTAGTAGAAAATGCACCTGGATAGAGCGGAGTGATTACAAGGAATAAATGTAACCGATCCTAACTAATTTAGGATTGAGGCAGGGGTCATCGTATAGTGGAAACACACTATTGCCTTTTTAAGTTAGTCTACTTGAGGAGGTTATAGAAAAAGATTACTGCAGTATATTCGAGGAAGTTTAGAATGTCTGTATTGATAGTTTTCTTGCTAGGAAAACTATTCCAAGTCTTCCTTCTTAATGTTAACTGTGGGTCATGGAAAGTAAGTTATAAATTTTCTTTTGCTGGGGGGCAAACAATAGGGGTTCTTACTTTGTGGTGCAGCTGGGTTGGTTGATGCTCTGATCTTTATATTACTGGAGTTGTCATTGAGAAGTTGCCACTATGTATTTGATAATTAAATAATTCATAATACAATAAGATTTCACATTGTGGACCAACTTTTGTACATTATTGAGAACTTGAATTGCTAAAAATCTTTTCACTTACTATTCTGGAGAACTTATGACTTTGTATTATGTAAAGTCATGATCATCTTTTTCCGTCTTATTTGGGTGATGGTGGCTTGCTCTGAGAGGACTTACCAGTAATGGCTTTCTTCACCTTTGCAATTGAGTGCTTGACTTTTGATCCAACTCCTGACAATATATTCTGATGTTTCTTGTGAGGAACTCTGATATCAGCATCTCTCGAGACTTCTACCATGACTGGACCTTCAGAACACGACTCTTCTCTTGTTTGTTGACTTCCTTCCTCATCTTTGTCATTGTCTTTTTCCTTATCAGTTATTTCTTCTTCATCTTCAGACTCTTCAGTTTTGTGTGCCTGCAGGTCTTCTTTATTGATCATTACCGCTTTTTCTTCAGCAAAACTTTCCTCCATTTTTGATGTCTCTTTTACTGATTCATGCAGAAGGCCAGGAAGTGCGGCCTTAGCTTGTGTCTCTCTTGATCTGGATTCCTCTGGTGCTTCTTCTAAATCACATTCTACCCCTTTCTCGTTTTTGTAATTTTCCTGATCCTCTTCTGTTTCTGAAGTTTTGCATTTTTCCTGCATGTTCTGGATACTTTTGGCCATTGCACCCAGTTGCACTAGTGGGGTAATGCTGTCTTTGGGTGTGCCATTGACATCCGTGCTGCCGGTTGGATCAGTTTCCACCCTCTCCAATGCAAGTAAAGGATATGCTGCTTGCTCTTGTATCTGCTTAGCTACATTGATTTCATTGCTCACCATGTTATCCGTTGCTATCTCCTTTTCGGGAACCTTAACGGATTCCAATGATGTGAAATGTTCTGTTATTTCTTCCCAATCATCCCTTGTTTTTTCCTCTTGTTCGCATCCTACTTGGACACTTGGAACATTTTCAGTCTTTACTTCTTCTTTCTCTGTTTCTTTTGTTCCATTGCTTGTTATCATCTCTTCAAGACCTGCTGCTGTTTTTTGTTCTGATCCAAAAGGTTTCAAAGTTCCTCTTTCAGGTCCACTTATTGTTGTTCCCTTCTCTTGTTGCACATGTGTTGTGTTGTTGCTTGAGGAGTCTTCGCCAGTGCTCTCTCTTAAATCTTCTTGTTCCTCCTATGAGTTCATATTTTACCGTCAGGAATCTTGATTGAATGTGTACATTGTAAAGTAAACAGGGAAGGAGGCAGGGGGAAGTAAGCAAAGATTGGAAGAATGTATTTTTGCTTGTATCTTTTAGCTTTTTTATTTTTTTAGTTTTGCCTTTTCCATCTTTGACACTGGAACATCGTTTGGCTTCAGTAGACTTTTCTTTAGGGGATTTCATCTTAGTGATCTTTCCTAGAGTAGTTTTGTTGACTGTCCTTATAATGTTTGTATATTTTAAGTTAGTCTGTATCCAGCGAACAATTAACTATATATGATTCAAGTTTTTTATTTACATCAATACTTTGTTTTCTCTCGTTAATCTATGTGCTGAATATTTCATGCAGTTTGAGTTCAATCATTTTCTGCCAGCAACCTCCTTCCTAAACAGGAGGGAGTAAAACAGATCAAATCATGCAGGTAAAATAATGAAATTGAAGATAGATGCGCAATTTAATCTGACCTCTTTAATTGGAGTCTTGATTTCCATCATAACACATTCGCCCTTTGATTCCTTAGCCTCTTCTGGAAGGTCTATCTCAGTATTTCCATGATTAACGTTGTTGTTGTCATCGATATTAATTTTTCCCGGTTCTTCTAGCTTTTCGGATGTTTGTTTCCCAGCAGGTGAATCTTCATTATGCTCTTCTGTATTCATGACTGCACATGTGTTGCACTTTATATGCTGCTTGTAATCATCCATTTCAGCTCCTTCTGACATCTACAGAAAAAACAATTTTTCTGATATAGGTAACTTCCACACATTTTTAAGTAAGATGTATGATAAATACATCCAGTTTCTAACCATTATGCTTTGGTTTTCCTCTCTCTTGTCAAAATTTTCAGCTGTCTTCACTTCTGGATTTTCTTCCTGTTTTAACTTCTCCTGTTTGGTGCTGATGCTATTTTCCTCTTCATTGCAATCCGCACAGGAAACATCCTCTGTTTTTGATTTGTCAATGATCTGGAATTTGACCAGTCAACATTAGCAATCTTTTAAGAAATACAGGAGAAAAAGGAAAACGTTAACATTTAATCAAATGATGCATGGTACAAAAAACTTAATTACAATTTACCTCCTGAGCAGGTGCACTGTAAGGCTTCTCATGGTCTGCAGACCTTTGTAAAGAATTGGTGTCTGCTATTCCTACTGCCTGTTTCTCTTCACATACCTCAGCTAACTGATGCTTCAGTTGTTCCTGTGGATCTGCACAGCTTTGTAACGTATTGGTGTCCGTAACTACTGCTGCTTCGTTATCTTCACAAATCTCAGCTGTCCGATGGATAAGTTCTTCTGTGGATTCAGATATCTTTTCACTGTTTCTTCCATTTGTTTCTTTTTCAACCGGAGTATCGAGCATATGGCCAATATCTGTCTCTCTGTTTTGTAGCTCAAGCTTATCTGCAGCTGTGTTGTCCTTATTATGATTTTGGAACCCGATATTAGAGCTTTCAACCTGTAGAACGAGTCATTTCTAATTTGGTTAGTATCCAGAAATAACTGAAGGGGTGAGGAAATAGAGAAATTTCTGGAGACTGCTAGCAGGATTGCATGATGCGACAAAACATGATTGCAGTGCATATGCTGCTTCTAGCTGTGATTCAACTTGAGATAATTCGTAAGTTCTGTTCATGCTTCTTTAATGGTTGTATCGGAGGGGGAAACATCAAGTTCTGTTTTGCTAGTTTTGCTAAAACTTATTTCCTTTACTGTTATAAATTAATTCCAACTTTTAAAATTTAGAATGGCGATTTCTTGTAGCAGATTGCAAATCGACATTCATGTCATACTCTGCCTGCTTATATGAAATGTTTCATGCAGTTGTCCGACATAGTGCTCTCACAGCAACATCTCCTTAATCCTCTCGTTGCAGAAGGGAACAGAAACTGAGAATAATATATTCCTCTAGGGATTTGTGACCTTAACTAACTTGGAGTTGTGGCTTAGTTGTTGTCGTCGTTGTTGTTGTTCTGAAAATATCATGCAGCAGGAAAATTAAACTTCTAGGCTCATAAGCATGCAACAAACTCATAGATTCTCAATAGATGCTTATCGGCTAATTCCTTCTAAGATCTTGCTTGTTTACCTTTTCTGTAGAGTCCTCCACCCTCTTTTCTTCTGAAGAAAGTGCAATGAAGTTCTCTGCTCCACTCGTGTCTTTAACCTCTTCTGTGGTTAGATTGTCTTGCTGAAAGTTCTTCACAATTAAAAAATAGCAATCCAGTGATTTTAAAAAAAGGAGAGAAAGCAAGCATTTCTATTTTACCTTCCTTGGGTTAGATATATTGGAATTTGAAACAGGCTTATGTGGTCATAGATTCTCAGTAGATGCTAATCAGCTAATCTAATGTAAAGTCTTGTTCATTTACCTTTTCAGTAGAGTCCTCCACCCTCTTTTCTTCTAAAAAAAGTGCAACGAAGTTCTCTGCTCCACGCGTGTCTTTAACCTCTTCTATTGTCAGATTGGCTTGCTGAGTGTTCTGCAGAAATTAAAAAGAGCAATCCAGTGATTTAGAAGAAAGAGAGAAAGCAAGCATTTTTGTTTTACCTTGCGGTTAGATATATGAATTGGAAACAGGCTTGTGTGTCACTTAACCTCTTGATTGGGGGTTTCTGAAACCACTTTGCCTTCTTCAAAGTTATTTGCTGCCATCTCTTCTTTGGCTGATGTTAGAAGCTCATCAAGAGTCGTTTCTTCTTTTCCTAGGACATTCTTATTTGTCTCATCACCAGCATTGACATCTTTTAGTTCTTTTATCTGTTTATAGTGATAGGTTTTGTTATGACTAGTTTAGGCACACGAAAGAATATCAAAGCATTGATAGAAGGTCACATAATACCTCAGTTTCAACTTCTTTGCAAAGTCTAGTTGTTTCTTCGACAAACAGTTCTGTCTGTTTTCCAGTCAAAGCTTCTTCTTTCTCTACTATATGTGTTCTATATTCATCAATTCTTTCTGTGGCAGCTTGAGTATCTTCCCTGTTTTGTTCTTTGGGTTCTTCTCCAACTGGTGGTTCTTTAGGTTTCTCTTCAATTATTGGTTCTTCAAGTTTCTCTTCAACTGTTAGTTCTTTAGGTTTCTCTTCAACTGCTTGGTCCTCGGGTTTTTCTTCAATGGGTGGTACTTCATTTATTTCCTTAACTGCTGATTCTTCAGGTTTCTCTTCTACTGCTGCTTCTTCAAAATTTTCAACTGCCGATTCCTCAGGTATTTCTTCAACTGACGGTTCTTCACCTTTTTCATCAACTGCTGGTTCTTCAGGCTTTTCAACTGTTGATTCTTCAGGTTTCTCCTCAATTGTTGGTTCCTCAAGTTTTTTGTCAGCTACTGGTTCTTCAGGTTTCTCTTCAGTTGCTGGTTCCTCAGGTTTCTCTTCAACTGGTAGTTCCTCAGGTGTCTCTTTAACTGCTGGTTCTTCAGGTGTTTCTTTCACTGCTGGTTCTTCGGGTTTCTCCTCAACCGCTGGTTCTTCAGGTTTCTCCTCAGCTTTTGGCTCTTTAGGTTTTTCTTCAACTGTTGGTTCTTCAGTTTTTTCTTCAACTGCTGGTTCCTCATGTTTTTCTTCAACTTGTGGTTCTTTACGTTTTTCATCAACTGCTGGTTCTACATGTTTTTCTTTAAATGCTGATTCTTCGGGTTTCTCCGCAACTGTTGGTTCTTCAAGTTCTTCATCAATTGTTGGTTCTTGAGGTTTCTCTTGAATTGCTGGTTCTTGAGGTTTCTCTTGAATTGCTGGTTCTTGAGGTTTCTCTTCAACCGTTGGTTGTTTAGGTGTTTCTTTCACTGCATGTTCTTCAGGTGTCCCTTCAACAGCTGGTTTGTCAGGTTTCTCCTCAACTGCTGGTTCTTCGAGTTTCTCCTCAACTTTTGGTTCTTCGGGTTTCTTCTCAACGGCTGTTTCTTCCAGTTTCTCTTCAACTATCCATTCCTCGGGTTTCTCTTCAACTGCTGAATCATCGGGTTTTTCTGCAACTGCCGGATGGTCAGCAAAATCATTGTCGGTATTGCATGAAATTTCACCGTCAGTCTTGTTGTTTGAGTCTACAGATGGCATATTCTACAAGAAGAATTTAAAGTTTCACTTAATCTTTCAATAGATAAGTAGATTTGAATTCCTTACACATACGGAACTAATAGGATGGTGAAATTCTTTTGGTTGCATCTCGCACAGGGTTACTACACTTGCTCCACTGTTCTGCAACAATGATCGTGATTGGAATATTTTGAGTGCTAGCATTGTTTAGTATGTTACATACACTGGTGAGAAAAGGACAAAAAGTTATGCACTTAAGAATCATTCTAACGAGAGAAGAAGGCGTTCATATCTTAATCTCCAGATGGTTTTAGTAATTGTCAACTGCCGGGCTTTATATCAAGTTAACAGATGTCTACATGATGAGGTTTTGGACTTCTTATTTTAGCAAGATTATTGTTTATAACTGAAATACAGTTCCGTGGCCTAGTGGTTTAAGTTCTTGGTTGTGAATTCTCTTAAGGTCATATTTTGGAATTCCCCCAGGAAGAGTTTTCACTGCCTCTTCCTTTATTAGCTGATAATTCTCCAAGAAGAATCTCTTTCTTTTTGTCATTGTTAAAGAGTCTGCCGAAGAAAACCAATAAAATGATTAGAATAAATGCATGAAGGCATCTACCTGCAATATTTGAAATTTGCTTAAACCTTCCCTTGCAACTTATTGTTTCAAAGACTCAAAGGAATACTCGATTTGCAATGTCAATGGTCCGTTCTTTTTCAGAAAAATAAGTCATACCCATTTGTCAGCATTTGGCTAATTTTTGTTCTCACTTGTAACAGCCTCGAACAAAATAAATAAATAAACAAATAAAAGAGCAAAGATGGTTGATATTTGTAATTGAATATACTCTATCGACAGTGAATTTATTTTCTATTCTTGTATATATCATCTTATCATGTATTGCTTCCCATTTTGTGCAATAACTACAAACTAAACAAAAACTCTGGGTAAGGAAGTGAAGACTTATTTTGTTTTATATGGAGAACTTTAAATTTATAGTAGTTAGTAGTTACTACGAACTACATACTTCGAATACTTTCAGACTTGAATTTCAATATTTCTCCCAGAAAGACAAGGTGGCAAGAGAATTCATATGCATGCAATAAACTTAAGACCCTACGTGAACGGTTATCATATGAGTGCCTTGATGCTAATTGGCTGATTCATTCTCAGGTTCTCATTTCGTTTACCTTTTCAATAGAGCCTTCACAACTAATTTCTTCTGAAGAAACTACCATGAAGTTCTCGACTCCATGCTCATCTTTCAATAAAGCTTCATCTCTGATTAAATTAGCTTGTTGAAAGTTCTGCAGATTTGAAAAGGAGGGAATTTTGTGATTTTAGTAGAAAGTGAGAAGGCATATTTATATCTGAGAGTTACATATATGATTTAAGAACAGGCTTCTATGGTCACTTAACCTCTTGACTGGGAATCTCTGAAACCACTTGGCCTTCTTCAGAGTTTTTGGTACCAATTTCTTCTTTGGTGGACGTCAGAATTTTGTCCAGAGTCTTTTCTTCTTTTTCCATAATGTTTTTATTTGTCCCATCACCAGAATTTATATCTTTAAGTTTGTTTATCTGTTTGAAGTTATAGTTTTGGCAATCATTAGTCTATGGACAGGAAAGACCAGAGTATTAATAGAAGCCAGATCATTTAATACCTCTGTTTCAACCTCTTCACAAGATCTCTTTTTTTCTTCAACAAACAGTTCTTCCTGGTTGCGAACGGAAACTTCTTGCGTCTGTACTATACATTTTTCCATTTCATCAGTTTGTTTTGGTACTTCTGGTCCTTCTGGATGCTCGTTTACCTGCATAACCAAGTAGCTCATCAAGTTTAGAACAATAAGGGTGAAGAGCAACTAAATTATTTACTTAACCAAGTCTGCTTGATCCTTCTCTATTAGCAATGTCACTTGCCTCATTTTCTGTTCCTTTACTTGAATTTGGATTTATCTCAGATTTTGTGCTTCCTGAAGTTTCTTGCCTGATTAGACGCTCTTGATTATTAATGCGCACAGCTTCACCTTCAGCGAACATGTTCTTATTTAAGAAACTATCCCCTGTCGAAGTATTTTGATTGTCATCACCTGCAATATGTCGGTAGTAGATGTTAATACCACAGCTAGTCATTATTGAAGTGACTAGAAAGTGCATCTCTTTGAACCCCCAAAAAAGTGCGTGTTACATCCTTATTGGAATTTACGACTTAATGAATGCAGCTAGCCCTGATATCTTAGCAAAAGCATATCATAGGATTTCTTTATTATATCCATGTAGTAATAAATTAATTATGTTCATGTATCAAGTGATAGATGATCATTATTGCTAAATACTGTGGATGTGCATTCTACTTTTTCAAGGTTTCTCCAAACCAGAAAGGCGTCTTGTCTCTGGCGCTTCTCTCCATTTCAGCTTTCTTTTAGCGATTGTTCCATTTGTATAATTGTTTTCTCTACTTTTTGCGACTGATACTATGGTTAAATCAATTGGATCTGTTCTCTAAAGTGTATCACCATTTTCCATTGCAAATAAAATCAATTGGATAGGGAAAGCATGTATGTGAACTAGTATTACTCACTCTGTGGTGTAAACTTCTGTTCTAAAGTGAAAGAAGCCTCATCCTTCTGCTTTATGTTCACTTCATCTCTCTGCATTGCATCATCAATTTCTGATATTTCTCGAGAATCTAGCTGTTGCACATTTTTAGGTTCGTCAATACTAATTGGTTCTCCCAATATTGGGTTGGTCATTGTTGTCCCTTGAGCAGGCAGATGGCTTAGAATAGCTGTTGGCGGACTGCTGCTTGCTTCATTTGCATTCTGGTTATGATTTGCCTCTTTTATGGGAGCTTCAGTTACTTCCCTGCTTTGTTCTTCCGGCTTTTCTTTGACTGATGGTTCATCAAGTTTCTCTTCAACCACTAGTTCTTCAGCTTTTTCGTCAACTACTGGTTCCTCAGTTTTTTCTTCAACTGGTGGTTCCTCAGGGTTCTGTTCAACTGCTGTTTCCTCAGGGTTCTGTTCAACTGCTGGTTCCTCAAGTTTATCTTCAACTGCCAGTTTCTCAAGTTTTCCTTCAATTGCTGGTTCTTCAGGTTTCTCCTCAACTGCTGGTTCTTCATCCTCAACTGCTGGATTATCAGCAACATCTTTTTTGGTATTGCATGTAATTTTACTGCCAGTCTTACCATTTGAGTCTACAACAGACATATTCTGCAAGAAGAATTTAAGGTTTCACTTAGTCTTTCAATAAATAAGCATATGTGAATTCCTTGCACATACAAGACTATTAGGATGGGCAAACTTAGTGATAGTGCTTAATCCTCACCTTTTCGCGAAAAGTTACCTTTTCAGGGTTCTCTTTTTCAGTTGATGGTTTATCAAGTTTCTCTTCAACTGCTACTTCTTCAGGTTTCTCTTCAACTCTTGGTTCTTCAGGTCTTTCTTCCCATGCTGGTTCTTCAAGTGTTTCTTCCCGTGCTGCTGGTTTTTCAGGCTTCTCTTCAACTACTGATTTTTCAGGTGTCTCCTCAACTGCTAGTTCTGCAGGTTTCTCCAATGTAACTGCTGTTTCTTCATATTTTTTTTCAACTGCTAGTTCTTCTGGTTTTGCCTCAACTGCTGGATAGTCAGAAACATTATTGTTGGCATTGCATGGAATTTCACTGTTAATCTTGTCCTTTGAATCTACAACTGGCATATTCTGCAAGAAGAATTTAAAGTTTCACTAAATCTTTCAATAGATAAGTAGATGTAAATTCCTTGCAGATATAGAGCAAGGAATCTCTGTGACACTGCTTGATCACCTTTTCCAGGGGAGTTACGGCTTCAGGTTTCTCTTTCTCAACTGCTGTTTTTTTAGGTTTCTGTTCAATAGCTGGTTCTTCAACTGTCTCTTCAACTGCTGATTCGTCAGGTTTCTCTTCAACTGCTAGTGCTTCAGGTGTTTCCTCCCCTGCTTGCTCTTCAAGTGTTTCTTCAGTTGCTAGTTTTTCAGATTTCTCCTCTATAACTGATTTTTCAGGTTTATCCTCAACAATTGGTTCTTCAAGTTTCTCCTTAGCCATTGGTTCTTCAGGGTTTTTCTCAATTGCTGGTTCTTCAGGTTTTTCCTCAACTTCTGGATAGTCAGCAACATCATTGTTGGTATTGCATGGAGTTGCGCTGTCATTCTTCTCGTTTACCTCTATAATTGGTATATTCTGCAAGAAGAATTTGAAGTTTAACTGAATCTTCCAACAGGCAGATGTGAATTGTTGCACATACATAACTAATAGGATGGATAAAATTTGTGATTGTGCTTGATCCTCACCTTTTCCAAGAGAGTTACTTTTTCATGGTTCTCGCCGACTGCTGGTTTTTCAGGGTTCTTTTCAACTGCTTGTTCTTCAGGTGTTTCTTCAACTGCTGGTTCTTCAGGTTTCTCTTCAAATGCTAGTTCTTTAGGTGTTTCTTCCCATGCTGGTCCTGCAGGAGTTTGTTCAACTACTGGTTCTTCTGATTTCTCTCCAACTGCTGGTTCGTCGAGTTTCTCCTCGACTGCTGGTTCTACAAGTTTCTCTTGCACTGTTGGTTCATCAGCTTTTTCCTTAATCGCTGGTTCTTCAGGTTTCTCCGTAGCCACTGGTTCTTCAGGTTTCTCTTCAATTGCTTGTTCTTCATGTTTTTCTTCAACTGCTGGATAGTAAGCACCATCATTGTTGATATTGCCTGGACTTTTAATGTCAATCTTGTCCTTTGAGTCTACAATTGGCATATTCTGCAAGAATAATTTACAAGTTTGACTTAGTCTTTCAATAGATTAGCATATGTGAGTTCCTTGCACATATAAAGCTAATAGGATGGATAAATTTTGTGACAATGTTTAATCCTGACCTTCTTTAGGAGAGCTTCTGTTTCAGGTTTCTCCTCTTCAATTGCTAGGTTTTCATGTTTCTCTTCAATCACTAGTTCTGCAGCTGTCTCTTCAGTAATTGGTTCTTCTAGTTTCTCTTCAACTGCTAGTTCTTCATGTGTTTCCTCTCCTGCTAACTCTTCAAGTTTCTGCTCAATCGTTGGTACTTCAGGTTTCTCCTTAAATGCTGGTACATCAGGTTTCTCTTCAACCACTGGTTCATCAGTTGTTTCCTCAATTGCTGTTTTTTCAAGATTTTCCTCAACTGCTGGATAGTAAGCAACATCATTGTTGGTGTTGCATGGAATTTCACAGTCAGTCTTGTCGTTTGAGTCTACAACTGGCATATTCTGTAAGAAGAATTTAAAGTTTCACTTAGTCTTTCGATAGATAAGCAGATCTGAAAATCTTGCACACATAAAACTATTAGGATGGACAAACTTTGTGACAGTGCTAGATCCTCACCTTTTCTAGGAGAGTTACCCTTTCATGTTTCTCATCTTCAATTGTTGGTTCTTCAAGTTTCTCTTCAACGGTTTGTTCTTCAGGTTTCTCCTCAACTGCTGGTTCTTTAGGTTTCTTCTCAATTATTGGTTCTTCACGTTTCTCCTCAATTGCTGTTTTTTCAGGTTTCTCTTCAACCGCTAATTCTTCAGGTTTCTCCTCAACTGTTGGTCCTTCATGTTTTTCTTCAACTGCTGGTTCTTCAAGGTTTTCCTCAACTGCTACGTATTCAGCAACATCATCGTTGGTATTGCATGGAATTTGACTGTCAGTCTTATCATTGAAATCTACAACTGGTATATTCTGCAAGAAGAATTAAAGTTTCACTTAGTCTTTCAATAGATAAGTAGATACGAATTGTTGCACATACAGACCTAATAGGATGGCTAAAATTTGTGACAGTGTTTGATGCTCACCTTTTCCAAAAGAGTTACCTTATCAGATTTTTCCTCTTCAACTGGTTCTTCATGTTTCTCTTTGAATGCTTGTTCTTTAGGTGTTACTTCCAGTGTTGGTTCTTCAGGTGTTTCTTCAATTACTGGTTTTCCAGGTTTCTCTTCAAGAGTTGGTTCTTCAAGTTTCTCCTCAACAATTGGTTCTTCAGGTTTCTCTTCCGTTGCTGATAGTTCAGGTTCCTCATTAACTGCTGGTTCTTCAGGCTTCTCTTCCACTGATGGTTCTTCAGGTTTTACCTCAACCGCTAGTTCTTCAGGTTTTTTCATAAATGCTGATTCTTCAGATTTCTCTGCAGTTGCCGCTTCATGTTTTTCCTCAACCACTGGTTCTTCAGTTTTTTCCTTAACTGCTGCATAGTCAGCAATATCATTGTTGTTATTGCAGGGAGTTGCATTGTCAGTCTTGTCCTTTGAGTCTGCAATTGGTAAATTCTGCAAGAAAATTTAAAGTTTCACTTAGTCTTTCAGTGGATAACCAGATGTGAATTCGTTGCATATATAGAGCTAATAGGATGGATAAACCCACACTGCTTGTCTCTTACCTTTTCCTGGAGAGTTACTGTTTCAAGTTTATCCTCTTCATTTTCTGGGTTTTCAGGTTTATCTTCAAGAACTAGTTCTTTAGGTATCTCTTCAACTGTTGGTTCTTTAAGTTTCTCAAGTGCTAGTTCTTCGGGTGTTTCCTCCCCTAATAGCTCTTTAGGTGATTCTTTAGCTGCTGGTTCTTTAGGTTTCTTATCAGCCACTGGTTGTTGAGATTTCTCCTCGACTAGTTCATCAGATTTCTCCTCAATCATTGGTTCTTCAAGTTTCTCCTCAACCATTTGTTTTTCAGGTTTCTCAACCACTGGTACGTCCGGTTTCTCTTCATCAATGGGTTCTTTAGGGTTTCCTTCAACTGCTGGTTCTTCAGGGTTTTCCTCAACTTCTAGAAAGTGGGCAGCATCATTGTTGGTATTGCATGGAATTTCACTGTCAGTCTTGTCGTTCGAGTCTACAACTAGCATACTCTGCAAGAAGAATTTTGAAGTTTCACTTAGTCTTTCATTAGGTAAGCAGATGTGAATCGTTGCAAATACACAACTAATAAGATGGATAAACCTTTTGACAATGCTTGATCCTCACCTTTTCTAGAAAAGTTACCCTTTCAGATTTCTCCTCTTCAATTATTGGTTCTTCAGGTTTCTCTTCAACCGTTGGTTCTTCAGGTTTCTCCTCAACTACTGGTTCTTCAGGTTTCTTCTCAACTATTGGTTCTTCATGTTTCTCCTCGATTGTTGTTTCTTCGGGTTTCTCTTCAACTGCTAGTTCTTCAGATTTCTCCTCAACTGTTGGTTCTTCATGTTTTTCTTCAACTACTGGTTCTTTAAGGTTTTCCTCAACTGCTACACATTCAGCAACATCATTGTTGGTATTGCATGGAATTTCACTGTCAGTCTTGTCGTTGAGATCTACAGCTGGCATATTCTGCAAGAAGAATTTAAAGTTTCATCTAGTCTTTCAATAGATAAGCAGATGTAAATCGTTGCACATACAGAAATAATAGGATGGATAAACTATGTGATAATGCTTGATACTCACCTCTTCCAAAAGAGTTACCTTTTCAGGTTTCTCCTCTTCAACTGCTGGTTCTTTTGGTTTCTCTTCAAATGCTAGTTCTTTAGGTTCTTCCCATGTTGGTTCTTCAGGTGTTTCTTCAATCAGTGGTTTTTCAGGTTTCTCTTCAACAGTTGGTTCTTCAAGTTTCTCCTCAACAATTGGTTCTTCAGGTTTCTCTTCCATCGCTGAATTTTCAGGTTCCTCATTAACTGCTGGTTCTTCAAGTTTTTCCCCAACCATTGGCTCTTCAGGTTTTTCTTCCACTGCTGGTTCTTCAGGTTTTACCTTAACCGCTGGTTCTTCAGGTTTCTCCATAACCGCTGATTCTTCAAATTTCTTTTCAATTGCAGGTTCTTCAGGTTTTTCCTCAACTTTTGCATAGTCAGCAATATCATTGTTGGTATCGCATGGAATTGCATTGTCAGTTTTGTCCTTGGCGTCTGCAATGGGCAAATTCTGCAAGAAAATTTAAATTTTCACTTAGTATTTCAATAGATAAACAGATATGAATTCGTTGCACATAGAGAACTAATAAGATGGATAAACTCTGTGACACTGCTAAAGGAGAGTTACCGTTTCAGGTTTCTCCTCTTTATTTGCTGGTTTTTCAGTTTTATCTTCAACAACTAGTTCTTTATCTGTCTGTTCAATCGTTAGTTCTTCAGATTTCTCTTCGAGCGCTAGTTCTTCAGCTGTTTCTTCCCCTACTAGCACTTGTTTTTCTTTAGCTGCTGGTTCTTCAGGTTTCTCTTCAGCTGTTGGTTCTTCAGGTTTCTCCTCAACTGGTTCTTCAGATTTCTCCTCAACCGTTGGTTCTTCAGGTTTCTCCTCAACTGGTTCTTCAGGTTTTTCTTTAACTGCAGGTTCTTCAGGGTTTTCCTCAACTTCTGAAAAGTGAGGAGCATTATTGTTGGTAATGCTTGGAATTTTACTGTCAGTTTTGTCGTTCGAGACTACAACTGGCATACTCTGCAAGAAGAACTTTAAAGTCTTACTTAGTCTTTCAGTAGGTAAGCATATGTAAATCGTATCGTATACACAACTAATAAGATGGACAAAAATATGTGACAATGCTTGATCCTCACCTTTTCCGGGAGAGTTACCCTTTCCGGTTTCTCCTCTTCAATTGTGTGTTCTTCAGGTTTCTCCTCAATTGTTGGTTCTTCAGGTTTCTTCTCAAATGCTGATGTTTCACGTTTCTCCTCAATTGATGGTTTTTCAGACTTCTCTTCAACAGCTGGTTCTTCAGGTTTCTTCTCAACTGTTGGTTCTTCAGGTTTTTCTTCAACTACTGGTTCTTCAAGGTTTGCCTCAACTGATACATAGTCGGCAACATCATTGTTGGTATTGCATGGAATTTCACTGTCAGTCTTGTCATTGAAATCTACAACTGACATATTCTGCAAGAAGAATTTAAAGTTTTTCTTAATCTTTCAATTGATAAGTAGATACGAATCTTTGCACATACAGAACTAATAGGATGGATAAACTTTGTGATAGTGCTTGATCCTCACCTTTTCCAAGAGAGTTACCTTTTCAAGTTTCTCCTCTTTAACCGCTGGTTTTTCAGATTTCTCTTCGACTGCTAATTGTTCAGGTGTTTCTTCAACAGTTAGTTCTTCAGGTTTCTCTTCAAATTCTAGTTCTTCCGGTGTTTCTTCCCGTGTTGGTTCTTCAGCTTTTTCTTCAACTACTAGTTCTTTAGGTTTCTCTTCAGCCGCTGGTTTTCCATGTTTCTCCTCAACCTCTGGTTCTTCAGGTTTTTCCTCAATCGCTGGTTCTTCATGTTTCTCCTTAACCGCTGGTTCTCTAGGTTTCTCTTCAACCGTTGGTTCTTCATGTTTTTCTTCAACTGCTGGTTCTTCAGGTTTTTCCTCAACTGCTGGATAGTCAACAGCCTCATGATTGGTATTGCATGAAATTTCATTGTTCGTCTTGTCGTTCGAGTCTACAACTGGCATATTCTGGAAGAAGAATTTAAAGTTTCACTTAGTCTTTCAATAGATAAGCAGATGTGAATTCCTTGCACATATAGAACTAATAGGACGGATAAATTATGTAACAATGCTTGATCCTCACCATTTCCAGGAGAGTTACCTCTTCCTTACTGTCATCCATGTTGCATTTTCCCTTCAAACCACCATGGATATCTTCTGAACTGGTGGCTGTATCAAGCTTATGGTCGGATGTTGTCTCTATAAGTTCCCCGAACGATGAGTTTCCGATCTCGTCATCAGTGACATGCAAGAGTTCAGTGAGATTCTTTTCCTCTTCATTTTCCAAAAAGATGTCATTTGACTTGTTATCTTTTGGAATTTCAGCAATTTCCTGCCCTTCTGCTGCAATTTCTGATGCTTCGTCATCTCTACTTTCTCCTTTTGAGCCTTCTGGCATGTCCAGCTGTTCAGTTTTCCTTTGCACATTTTCCTCGCACGCTACCTGTGAATCATCAACAATTTGGACATGGGTTTTTTCAGACTCATTTGCTTTACTTGCTCTGCAATCAATTATAGCGGCATTCTCAAACATCTCGGTTTGGTTTTCTTCTCTATGCCGGCTCGTGTTGGCATCATGCTCAGAGACAGTTCTGATGACGTCTCTTAATGGTGCAGAATTGGTATCTTCTTTGGGGGATATGTCCTCTCTTTCTTCTGTAAACGAAGATACCAATATGTCTGAGCTCTGAATATCATCAATGTCCTTCGATGTTGTATTTATTATTATTTCGTTAAACTGATGTGCTTCTTGGTTTCCATTCTCAATTGAGTTGTCCCCATGTTTCCTGCTCGTATCTGATTCAGCATCATCTAATCTGGTTTCTTCTACAACATTAACAACTGGGTTAACAAGCAGATTCTTAGCACCCTCTCCATCTCCTGTCTCTTTTTTCTCATCCTCTCCTGTTTGGCACTCTGTTTGGGGGGAGATGAAAATACTTCTATCATCATCGTAGTCATTCTCATCTTTGAGTGCTTTCTCATCCTTCGTGTCACCAGGTAAATGTCCTATGGAACTCTCTTCATAGTTTAGCATGTGTACAATCTGACTTGAGATTGTCTTTGTCAAATCTCCGTTGGGTTTTTCTTGTGTCATGCATCCCTCATCCTTGTCCGAGTTAGTTGCTGATTCTCTTACATTTTGTATGTATCCGTTTGAAGAAATATTTTCGTTTGAGCTGATTTCTACTTTTTGGTCTTCTGTTTTCTCCCCAAGGTGGAATGAAATCCCTGACATCTCTTCGCCTGACTTGTTTGGTGTATCGACTGACACATGGACTTCCATTGAACTGCTAATTTCTTCAACAGCCTTGGCAACTGAGGGTGATTCAAAAATATTTTCACCCTCAGTTTTTCCGTTGTTACCTTGAATGGGATCCTTAACATTTTCAACCTCTGAAGTTCTTTCAACCTCAGGTGCTGGATGGACTTTGTTGTCTGCCTCCATGATCAGTTTGTCTGATACTGCATATGCTTCACCTAGCAAATTCTCTTCTTTTTTCTGCATGAAGTAAAAATGGTTTTGCTTTATTGTAGCTAAATTAAAAAAGAAATGTGTTTGTCTAATATTGACAGAGCAGCACTCAAACATGAACTTTGTCAGGATAACCCTAGCGTATTAAACTGCATATATTAGCTGGATTCCTGTTTATAATTGAAACGGAGTTACTAATCCTGGCCTAGTGGTCAAAGCCCTATTGCTCTAGCCTTAAGTCCCAACGTATGACCTGCTCGCTGAACTTTCTTTGCCATGTTTGAGAATTCTCACAGAAGTAGTTGCTACTGCTACTCCCTTTATTAACCAATCAATATCCAACATGACCGATTGTCTCTTTGAATAATGTATCAGATATTTTTCTTTGATGAAGCGACTTCCATAGGAAACAATAAAACAATAGGAAATGCATGAAGACTTCTATATACGATATTTGAAGTTATCTTACTCCTAATAAGCTTTGGAAAGCACGTGCGGTACTGTTTATTTCTTGCAAGTGATTTGGTAGGGTCTCCTAAAGAAAGATACATTGTGGTTTTTCAGTTGGCTTACTTACAGATATGGCCTTGGAACAAGCTCCTTAACTTCTGAAATTGTACACACAAATTACCGGTAGGATCTCGTATTTCAATATTAGCTTGATCTGACAAAGAATTTAGCTATCTTATTTGACTCAAAATTTTCATTGTGCATTGTCACCTATTGAGAATTTTCGAGGTCAATGACAAGTACTCATGTTAGACCATTTATCTCCAATGTTCTTATAAAGTTTCAAGAATAGGAGAAGACTGATTTGAAAAATGTTTTCATAATCTCCTCCTGGTATGTACTGAAGTGAGCAACTTTCTTTCCAGGATAAGAAGTTTGTCTCACACAATTAAACTGAAGAACGAGTTTTGGTTCTAAGCCCTTTTCCCTCCTAAAAGACCACACCTTAGACCATAAGAACCTTCTTTTTAGAATATACAGCAAATGGAAAAAGAAAATAGGTATCGATCCCGCCCTGTTCACATGTCAATGCACACAACTTAAATCACTTATGTATATTTCGAAGGTCGAGAGGTTTCTCAAACCCGGAACTGGAGTTAATTCGTATTTAACCCTTTTGTTGGTTTTAAGTATGCTAAGACCGGCTATGTTGCGCTGACTCTCCAAAATATTGCTGCACCCATGTCGGATTCTCCAAAAATACACTGGTTTTGGAGGATCCGACACGCACCCGGCAACATTTTTGAAGAGTCCGAGCAACATAGAAGGCCGGTTAGCTGTATTGAAGAACCCCTTTCTTCATCCTTTTAGTCGCAACCAAACTCAGGCCCTATTTTTCTCTCTAATTTGTTGGAAAACCACAGGTTTTGGGATTTGGATTCTCAACTAATATGGTTCCAAATGGTGTGTCAGAGATAGAACTGAACCAAGTTTTCATGCATAGGATTTTTATTTAATAGCACTTTTGGATGAATAACTCTTGTCCTTTGGAGAGAGTCAAGTTTTTCAATACTATTTATTTAAGAAGAGCTTTTTTTGTATCAGATTGCATTGATTCATTTCCGTGCTAATTCGAAGTTTTTGAATGATATTCTTTTATGAGTAACTATGGTCTTTTGGGGAGAGTCAAAGTTTTTCAGTACTAATTTATTTAACAAAATCTTGTTGAGCATAAAAAATTGCATTGCTTTGTTTCTGCGCTATTTCTTTTAGGATCATATTACCTTCATACACATATCTAGATCCAACCCTTTGTTGCCTAACAAGCGAATCACAACTGAACTGTGGAGTGTATCAAGAATGAATCTCACGTAGAGCTAAAGTTGTTTGCGAACCTTTATATGAACATACAGCTTGGTCAGGATGCTCTTCAATTAGCAGGGTTCTAACTCCTAAATTCCACGTTAAGTTATGAGTTCTATTGCAAAAGAAATAATTCGAGCCAGTTGAATATCTACTAATTTGTAGACATAATCAACATACAAGTTCCTGGAAGCAAGTTCAGGACTGCAAGACAATGATCATACATGAAGATGGATACCCTTAATTTCAGTTCTTTAGTGACAAACTTTGAACTTTGAAGCAAATGGTTAGTTCTGTAGTGAATAGAATACTTCATACTAGATCTATAGTTGATCAATAGGATACCTACTACCCTCTATTTATACTTCTTAGAGACTTCGTAATCCTGTAAATCCTTATGGAACAAACATAAAGGTTCCTCTTTCAAATTTTTTACACATACTTTAAGTTTGTGAAAGCAAGCTTGACTACTGCAATATGTTATAGGAGAATTAGAAACAGTTGCCGCTACATGAGAATGATAAACACACAAGACGCTGAAGTGGCATGCTCACATAAAGTAAAGCTGGTTGACAAGTGAGTTAACTTACACTTTTGTTCTGTAGAGTTTCAGCTTCGTTTTCCATTCCTTATGCAGCTGATCACGGAATTATAGTATTAAGCTTTCTTTTCCCCTCCTTAAAGACTACAAGATAGTGTTTTGTGTAATTCAATTGGATTGGAAATTCTCATTGCTATAAGTAGACATTCTTTCAATATGTTAATGTAGGATTATAATAGTTATATAATCATCAATTGATGACCATGTTGTTAAAGTAGACAGAAAATGACAAATCCCACTTGTTAATCCTACTAATATTATGAGTTGGACATAGATGGGTGGTCCTTTTGAATGATGAGTAGTCACATGCCCCTCTAGTATAGCTTTAGTCATCAAACAGTCAGATAATTGTTTCACAATAACTGTAAGGATTATGCAGTTGACAAGGAGAAACTGCCAGGAGCACATTACTATTTACTTTGTCACAAATCTGGTTATAAATTCCTTTATAGTACACAACATGTTATTTAAAAGAGAGTAATGCCTTAATAACATTCCTTAGATAGGTGCTCAGTTGTCAGATGGCCACATTTCACAGTGGCTTGAATCTATTTTCCTAAAAATTGGTTCGGTTGAATCACTTGATCTTGGAAAACTTTAGCTTAAATTTTAGTGCATTTGACAATAGCTTAAAATTCCCCTACAAATTACTTGATCTTGGAAAAACTAAAGTTGCAACTTCAGTTTAAAAAGATCTTAGAACCCTTTTGACCATTATTTGAGCTGAGATTACATTGGACTAGGATTTAGCTAAATGGAGCGAACGGAGCGACATGAACAGTGAGGATCTATATAGTCAATCTCAATTTGTTTGTATTTGAGTTGTAATTGTTGTGTTTGAGCTGAGAAGGCAAGAACTGTGATGTATCAAGTGAGTCCTCTGTCCTCGAACATCATGACAAATTTCCCAAAACAGATGACGAATGGAAAATGGGTTACCATGTTTTTGTCTGTGATAGGAATTTTTTTTTAAATCCCTCCCAATTTAGGAGGATCTATAGTGTTTTCACACTCCTCTCCAGCGTGACTCGAACTCGGGACCTAACGGTCGTGGGTGGAGGTGCTTTACCAACTGAACAAGTCTCACTTGCCTGTGATAGGATTCAAACCCGTGACGTGCGTCTACATTATGCCTGTGCTCTTATCACTATATCAAAGCCGGGGGCCACACCTCCAAATTCTTCTTAGAACTGAAGCCTTTTTCTTTACTTATTAAACTTAATATAATCAAAAGGACAGATTGATGAGGTGTACTAAGAGGAAAGTCCCATGTTCCATGTCACTCATCGACGTGGAAAAATTATTTTATCGTACATATTACTATTACATAAAACCGAGAAATTATTGAAAAACTTCAAAAATATGACTAGGATCAATGAATTGGAACGGGATGAATCATGCATGTGTAGAGCTGGTGCAAAATTGCAAAAGTAATTGATTTTAAACAACGAACAGTCTCAATCAAACTGATCAAAAACAAAATAGATGGTTTGTCTTTTTTCGCCGCCCCTTTAGGTGGATAAAGGTAAGCAAATAGCAATATTTCAGCTGTTTGTGTTTTATTCTTTTTTCTTTTTCCCTTCTTCCTTAAATATGCAATAATGCATAGAAGAACAAAAAAAAAAAAAAAGTGAGAGACATTTCACCACTTTGATGATTCAAACTTCAAAGATCGAATAAGTACACATCATATTGTATTGAGTTTAAGTTTTATATACTTATGGTATAAAAAGATTTATACAATTGTATCACTTATAAGATAATTTCAGGAAAATCTTAATGATATGTATTAACTGATACCTTTATAAAAATAGTAACTGTCTTGTTATAATAGGTTGAACTCTACTAATCGACTAAATTTTTTTTCACTCTATCAATGGAGGTGGAAACAAAAATTGAAAGTTTATGATTTTTGAACTTACTACCGAACTTATAGCTCGTCTTGATTATTGGCAGTTAAATATCTACTAATATTTGAAGTAATTAGTGCATTACATTTTGATCTTGTTGAGTGCTACAATTAACTGATTTAGGTAGTGATGTCTTATTGATATTATTTTCTAACGTTACGGAATTTCTGACTAGGAGAGTTTGGATAGCACTCGCACACCAAAGGTGACATTCGATTGATATTACATTCACTACTAGTAATAATAGTTTATAAGTGAATTTACAGTCATTCATCAATTATTTACGGAAAGAAAATGTGGATGCGTCCTAATTTTACCTTCTTTCCAACTATCTAATTGTATTATACTGGGATTTGAATTCTTCGTTGCTTAAATGCATATCCCTAACACACTACCATACTTCATTTTTATGCATTCTATATCTTCTCCATTATTACGGGCCACCCCTTATCCCAAACTTACTTGAGTCGGATGTTAACACTTAAACACCAATCCCATAAACCATAAATACATGATACATATTTTTACAAACAAAGTTATCGTGTGTGTATATATATATATATATGTATATATATATATATTATCGTTTAACCATGATAAACTAGTTTGATTTAACGTAAAAACCTGGTGCCGGTAAGTTTTTTACCGCAAAAAAAAAAAAAGATGAATAAAAGAAAAACATTGTATTCTTACGTTGTTTGTTAACTAATAGTGTGGTACTTGTGTAGCATGTGCTTCTATCTTTGTTTACGTTTTCCACCTATTTTCGAAATTCATATATTGGCTTACTTACGGGACTAATCCTACTATATGTAGTAATACCTAATACGGTAGGGGAAAGAAAATAGTGCTTCTCTAATCGATCATACCAAAAGGAGAAAGACTTATCGTAGAAGAAGAAGGCCACAAGCTCCGCAGCCCCTACCCTGACTCAAACCAAACATTTACTACAAAAATAGCAGCCATATCCAAGTAAAATCATAAAGTATGTCTAGTTCAGAAAAAGACGTTAGTGCCTAAGTGTCAGGTTCAGTGGGCCACGCAATTTTGGATGGACGGCTGCAACTTGGTAGTTGATACGACTTGTTTTTGTTCCTTTCTTCTTTTAAGTTTTTTGCTTTTATTTTTACAATCTATTGGTAAATTCACTGACCAAATGAATAGAAAAAATGTCAATTTTTTGGGGACGCTAATAGTACTTTTAATATAAATCGGAGTGAGTATATCTTTTATAGTAAAAACAGTATAAATTATCTTTACTATCCAAGATGTGGTGAGATTGATATGATTCTTCCACCTTAGCTAGATGTCACGGGTTTGAGACTTAGGAAAAAAAGAAATCCTGCTAATAGGGAGCGTTTTCCACTTCAATTTGCCTTACGCGAGTCTGGATTACTCAAGGCCTCAAAACAGATACCAAAAAGAAAAGATAATATAAAATTATCTTTGATCACATTAACTGATCACTTACGAATATTTAGGTGCATTAGAACAGGCAAGGGAAAGCCCCCAATTCAGTCATGTTCTCACCCTATGTCCTTTTTTTTATAGGAATTTTTTGTCGTTCAATCGAACAATTTAGAAAAGTACATGTAATTGAAGATAGTCAATGAAATTTTAATTTGATTTTGACTGTCTTTAAGAATTAATGGAGATGACAGCCGATTCATCCATTTAAAGTTATCCTGTCAGCAATTGTTGATGAGAATAAATGGGGGCCCCAAAAGAATCTTAAGGTCAAGAACATTGAGCTGGCGCAGTGTCATGCGGTCGTTTCATTTTGGGTGGTCCAAAGAAGGCCGACTCACCGCCCATTTGGATCCAGGCCCCACCACTCTACTTCAGCTGACCGAGGACATGACCCTTGATAGTAAGGTATGAAAGTCGATGACTAGGGTAGTAGAGTAGGTAGTCTAGAGTGTTCATAACAGTAGTATTGGCACGCAGTCTCGCTTTCTGTTGGTAGTAGGTTTTTATGACTAACTGTTGTTTCCTTCATTGTTGATCACCTTACTATCTTTTGTTTTTATTCGGCTTTATATGGCTTTTTGGTACTGTCCCTTCTTGTCTATATTTTCATTAATGCGTGTGCTTATGTTTTTCTGAGTCGAGGGTCTACTGGAAACAAGTTATCTATCCTCACAAGGTAGGGGTAAGGTCTGCATACACACTACCCTCCCAAGATCCTACGATGTGGGATAATACTGGATATGTTGTTGTTGTATATAAATCATATAATCGCTCCATATCAATTTGTATGAATCTATTTGACTGTGCGCGACGTTTAAATTATGTTATTAAGGGTAAGATAGTAAGCTTAAAGTTATATTTTACTTAACAGCTTGTTTGGATGGTTGTTCCCCATTGTATCGTATTTATTGTTATCCCAAAAACAATGTTTGTTTTGATTGTTTCATTAAAATTGATTGTATTGTATTGTTAAATTTATTGTTCCGGTACAATGAAAAGTCTCATTTTTTGAAACAATCGATTTGGTGTGGTGGGATTGCTTCCTACTTTTCTTTCCAATTATGCCCTAACTTATTATTTCACAATTCTATTTTACCATTTTCTACCCCCTTTTTTTTTTTTATTTTTTTTATTTTTTTTTTATTTTAACTCCAAATCTCCAACCTATAACCTACTTTGTTTTTTCCAAAACTTCTGCCGCTAACGTTAAAGGTGCTTTGCCGTCTTCTGTTTTAGTTTTTCTCCTAATTTGCTTTTAACTCAATTCTAATTAGTCGTGCTCCTTTATTTTGCCTTCTTCTGTCTCGCTCCTTTGTTTTATTTTCCTAAGGTGTTTTGCCTTAGGAAAAGATTATTGAGCCTACAACTAATAATTCGTAATGGTAATTTACTTTAATACAAAGTACAAATTTTAAATTTATACAACTTTAACTATATAAGAATTCGAATGTCATAAATGTACTCGTGCTTCTTGTCTTCAACATACATCTGTTCATACTTATAGCTGATTTAAATGAGTTGATCTCCGTTTTCAAACTTATATCTGGACATCTCCGTCATTCCGACTCATAATATTTATCATTTATATCTCAATTGATAAAAAAAAAACCAATTATACCTTAATTTGTTCATAGTTTAAGCTCTTCGGTTAATGAAAGTCTACCATTTTTTATTTTGTTTTTTGACCCATCACTCATGTCGGTATTGTTTGACCAAAAGTAATCGAAACCTTTTTGATTAAATCAATTAGAGAAGATGAAGAGGTAAATCTCAGCT